CCTGTGTATCTGGGTCCTGATCTCCACTTACTGGGTGGACACCAGGCAGAGTGGACCCAGTGGCTTCACTGGCCTTGCGTCTCCAGGTAGGAGTGCGCGTGATGTCATGGTAAGATACGTATTGTGCACATGCTGCCACACTGGAAGCCACCTTAAGCTGTGAATCTGGCTCTGAGCACATCCATGCTGTGGCGCGGCCACCATGAGCTACGTGCAGGAGGTCCTCGTCTTCCCAGGGGTCTGTGGCCCGACACACGCAGGTCCCCTCCCGCCCAGCCCCTGCACTGGGTCCCAGGGCTGCCCGTGGGTCTGAGGCACTGGCTCCCTCCTCCTGCTTCCCCGCATGTGCCCCTGGTGCCGCTCAGCACCTCAGGCCCTCCTTCCTCAGGAAGTGAGCGAGATTCCATCACAGGTGCACACCATCTGCTTTCCCATGTGTGGTGGTGGGAGTCGCTGCCCCCTGGTTCTTGGGAGCAGGGTTGCTCTGGACGTTGGCCTGCCTGTCTCTGGGGACGTGCCCAGAGGTGGACTTGCTGCAGCACTTGGAGTTTTGGCCTCCATGGTGGCCACTGTTGCGCTCCCCAGCACCCGAGCCCTCCACCATGCTTGTTCCTTTGGTTTTCTGTTGCAGCCGCCCTGTGGGGGAATGCCTACCACCTCTCACCCCCACCGTGGTGGGAATGTGTTGAAAGTTCATGGTCGATTTCCACACGTGCTACACGTGCACCTGAGGAGACATCTTGCAGGGACACACCTGTGGGTTGGGAGATGGAGCCTCTGTCCTCACTTTCTTTGGTCTGCCCGATGATTGGATTCTGCTATGGCTGCTGGGTCTCCCTCCTCCTGGTTTTGTTGGTGCACAGAGTTCAGAAGTGTGCGTTTCACCTTCTTGTCCCTGATGATGATTTTTGCTTAAACCCTCTTTTGTCTAAGACGTACACAGATGGTCATCTCTACTTGGGGTTCCTGCCCCCGTGTGCTCTGTGTCTGGAGCCCTTGTCTCCAGGCTCACCTCCCTCAGCCTGAGATGTGTGCCCAGGACTTGACGCCTGCGTCAGCCTTCACTGATGGGCGCTTTAGCCTTGTGAGATGGAGGTCGCCTCTCCCTCCTGACCACTGCCTCTTGGCTGACGCCGCTGCGGGGGGAGTCAGGTGAGCTTCATCGCTCTTCCTTGGGAGCGTTGGAGGTCTCTCTGACCTTGGCTTTCAGCGGCTTGACCTGACATCTGGGTGCTTTTCCTTAGTCTTCCCATTTGTTCCTGTGCTTGGTGTTTTAGCTGGCTTCTTGAACCTGTCTCTGCAGTGTCCTCTCCTTGTTCTGACAGAAACACAGATGGCCCGGTGCTGTGACAGGCTGTGAATTCCCAGGGGCTGAAGGACATTCAGGTTGCTGCCTGAAAGACCCAGCATGGGGCTGGACCCTTGAAGCGCCCACCACCATCCAGCTCCTGAGCCCTCCCTCCCCTCTCATTGGGGACTCACTGGGCTCCACCTGCATTGCCCCCGGTAGCCACTGGGTGGCAGCAAAGATTGGCCCTGGTGGCCCTGGTGGGAGCTGGAGCTTTAGGGGAGATGGAGGCCCCTGGCCCGTGAGATGAGGAGGGGCTCCTCTGTTTATCCCGTCCTCTCTTGCATCCCAATGACCAGCTCTTCCTACTTCCAGCCAGCGCTGGGTCTGGGGGGTGCCCAAGGGGGTCCACGTCATTCCTCAAAGAGTGGGAGGCATGGGTGGGGAAGAGACCTCTGTTCTCTGCTCCAGGGAGCGTCCTCCCTGCCTAGGAGGGTGCAGCAACCCACCAGATGCAGAGGTGCAAGGGGAACTCAGGCAGCAGGATACGCCCTATTCCCAGCAGGAATAACCTTAAACCTGGAACCACCCTAAACCCGGATTGTCCTAAACCGGGAACGCCCTAAACCCGGATCCGCCCTGGTCCTTGAGCAAGGTCACCTACATGAATGTCACTGCAAAATGTCCTATTTCCACGAGTCCTTCCACTAAGCAACATGGGGTACGCTGGCAAGGAAATTGTCATACCTACTTGGCTAATGGCTCCCAGCAGAGGTGGAAACCTGCAGTGGTCAGTGACCTACTAGGTGTCCTCACCCTGTGCCACCCCTTCCTCTGCCCAGGCGAGCTGTGGGCATGACCCCACGGCTTGGGGAATCTTCACTCCTCTTGATGGGAGACCCGTGGATCCTGAGCACAGAGATGTGAGAGGACTGACCTGAGGCCACAAGCTCTCACAGAGCCTGGCTCTTGCAGGGGTCACTTCCTGGTGGATATAGGGCCTTGAGTGAGGAAGTCTGGGCCTCAGGCCCCCTGACTTTCTGTTGGTCCTGGGAGGTGCCACCTGCTGAGTGGAAGTCCTAGAGGGCTGCAGTTGGGAGCAGAGGGAGAGGGTCCGGGAGTGCCTAGGATCACTTTGGCTCTGCACCTCCACACCCTGAGGCTGGTGGACACCCCTCCTCCAGCCTAGAATCTGACCCAGGTCTGGAGAGCAGGGTCAGTCCCTGCTGGGCAGGAGGGCAGGCGCACTTTCTGACCCAACCCATCCCAGCTCCTGGCAGGCCCTGCGGGGAGGGCTAAATGGGCTGCAGTCTTCTGGGGAGCTTGTCTGGTGGGTTCCAGGGGGTGCCGGGCTGGCCTTTGGGTCCTTTGGTCTGAGGCTCCTAGGGTGATCGATCCCACAGTTGCTGGAGAAGTCATCGTGGCACGTGATGTCTGAGAGATGTCTATCAACAGGCAGTTCACGGCTGGCTTGTTGCCCGAGGGCTCCAGCCAGCCAGGGGACAGGGACACCAGCTGAAGCACTGCTGTGGCCTGGCCAGGCCAGATGGGGCACCAGGGACCAAAGGGTAGAAGTCATGGACCTCCACCTGCTGGGCTGGGCAGCTTCTGAGTGCCCTGTGCTAGGGACTTTGGTGATCTCGGTGGCCAAGGGAGGTGACTTTTTGTGACCTTGGCAAGAGGGCACAAAATTAGGTGGGGTGGATTGCTGGGTGCAGTGCTGGTGGGACCAGAGGCCCACCCAGTGGAGCCCCCAGCACTGGACTCCAGGGCCTCTGTGTGGCTCCCTGTGGACCTCAAGCCAGGGCCTCCCTCCGGCGCCTGCCTCAGGGGCTGAAGATAGGGACGCTGCCAGGGTTCAGCCACCATAGTAACTGCAGTGCTGACCTCGCCCACCCAAGCCTTGCCCCAGCTGAACTTCCGTGTGCCTCCGTTCTGGGCCCACATGCCCCATGGAGACTCCCACCCCAGCCCCGCCTCACTCCACTCCCGGGTCCCCTGCTTCCTCCACCCCCTCCACTGTGGCTGCTCGGGGGTGGCTCTTCCCCTACCCCGTCCTGTTCACTGAGGTGCCAGGTGGGATCAGCCTGACTGGTGGAGTTGGGACTCGGCATCTGCTTAGGACCGGGGGGAGGACGAGGTGGGCAGGATGGGTGGGAGGGGTCATTCTGCTCCGTGGACAGACACCTTGGGCCCCTTCCCCAGCTGCCCCCACCCGTGTCCCTGCACCCCGCCCTCCGCCCCCTGGTCCTAGCGCTACAGAGGCCTCGCTCTGCCCTCTGGTGGCCACTCCTTGCCAAGCCTTGCGTCCTCAGTCCAGCAGCCCCTGTCCTGGCAGCGTCTGTCCGAGGCCTGTGGAGGGCTGGCCTCCCCCAGATGCGCCCAGCCCCAGCTCTGCCAGCCATGAGTCTTGCTGGGTGGACGGTGAACCTGTGGCCCTGGCTGGGCCTCACTGCCACCACCTTTGGGGAGGAGGTACCAGGCAGCCGCAGCACCACAGGTCTTCAACCCGGTCACCCAGTGTGGGCCTGGGCCGCGGGCACTGCCCACATGCCCCAGGCCCCCTCTGGATGCTGTGGCAGGGCTTTTCCTGTTTGTCCCTGGTCTGCGTGAGGCTGGCTTCTCACAGCTTGGAGGTGTGTGACCAGGGGCCCTGAGAGCCTCACCCAGGTCTTCTGGGGCCAGCGGTGTCCAGGAACGAGCTGCTCAGGTGGCCAAGCTGGGGTCAGGGGGAGGACCCTGTGGCCAGCCTTCCTGAGGCTGTGCTGAGGGTCGGCCTTTGGCTTGCCTCTCGGATGTGGCAGGGGCTTGAGTAATTCTGCCAGGAAGGGATCTGTTCCAGTTCCATGTCCGAGGACAGGGACGGCCCGCACTGCCCCTTGCATGGAGCAGCGCGGCCTGCCCTGCTGGAGGCGGAGCTGGCCAGCTGGCGTCATCCCCGCCCTGTCTGTGTGGAGGGTGCGAACCGGCTGGCACGTCTGGAGTGGGTCCCTGGACGGCTCGCCCAGCGTCGCCTGGGCCGTCGTACTTGGGGTTCAGAGGGGTCTTGCCTCTGGGATCTCCGTGCTTCTCTCCCAGCCTCAGTTTCTCCTTGGTGAAGCTGAGACCCTGTCTCCCCAAAGGCTGGGGCTGTGGGTGCGCAGGCGTTTCCCTGCGGAAGCCGGTGTACCAGTGCAGGAGGGCACCGCGGAGTCCTCTCCTGGCCACAGGGACAGCAAGCACTTTGTACTCTGGCCACCTTGGCATCCTTAGGCTGCCCTCATGGGCTCCTGCTCTCTCTGTTTTTGTGTGGGCAGAGGACTGCAGTCATGCCTCATGGGCCAGGTCAGGAGGCCCGGGCTGGGCAGGTGTGTGGAGGAGGCCCAAGCCCAGGGCCTTCCCCGATGCTCACCACGCCATCACTCCCTGTCTGTGGAGCTGAGGGACCTAGTGGGGCCACCAGAGGCAGGTGTTCAGGCACCTGTTGTGTGGGTGGATGGCCACGACAGGAAGCTCAGTCTTCGCACCCTTTCTCCGGCCGGCATGGGTCCCTGGGTGCTGGGATGTGCCCTGGGGGCCTTGGGGCCCAGCTGCTGCCTCCCAGCCTAGGGGCATGCCCAGCCGCGTCCTGCCTCCTGCTCACTGCCCGCTGGAGATGGAGCCCAGCACCACTGCCTTCCTCAACTTTTTTCTCCTCCCCAATTAATTAATTTAAATTGACCATTAAGTCAGCTGAGTTTTTGATTGATATTTTCATTAGCAGCGCTGTCCGACGCCCCAGGAATGTATGGTAATGTCCAATCTGCGGGCGGGCCGTGCTCCTCCTCGCGGGCTCTGAGTTATGGCTGGCACCCGCCCCGGCTCCCAGGGTAATTTGAATTCAGATGAGCTGCCGCAGTGTTCCGGAGCCTGGCGGCCGGCCGCTGACGGATGGCACTCGGGTTACCGCAAGGTCACCAAGCAGCCGCCCCCGCTGGAAGGGTGGGCCAAGGTGCAGGGGTGGGTGGGGAGCCGGGCAACCCTGTGGTGGGTGGCCACAGGGACTCTGAGAGCTGTCCAGCTGGTGGCCAACTGGCTGAAGCGCCGTGAGCCTTGGGGCCATGTGGCCCGGGGCCCTGGCTGAGCCTCATTGCAGAGGGGCAGAGTGGCCCTCCTCCCAGGAGAGCTGACCAGCTCAGAGCAGTTCCCATTGTGTCCAGGGAAGCTTCTCCCATCTCTGTCAGCTGGTGGGTGATGGGCTGAATCCATGTGCGGCCTGACCAGCTGGCTCCACGGCATCCATGTCCTGGGCCCTGGCCATGCCAGGCAGAGAGTAGACCTGCTGCCCCCTTCTCAGCATGGGCACCGATGCCAGGCAGGTGCCACTGTGATGGTCAGATGAGAAGTGTCTCCAGAGGCTCATGGTGCTGCCTAGCTCAGAGGTGGGCCCCTAGGGGGATGGGATGGGGGGCTCCGACCTCGGCAGTGGGTCCATAGCCACAGGTGTTGAGGTGGCGCAAGCTGTGGTGGGCGTGGCTGGAGGGGTCTGCAGGGTGGTGACGTGGCGTCTCCATGTTGGCTCAGGGTGAAGCACAGACAGGCCACCTGGGCAGGCCTGGCCTATGTTGGGCCCCTGCGTGGCCTCCTGCTCGCACACCACACAAGGACAGAGGGGCACCTGTCTGGCTCCTTGTTAGCTCCTCGAGAGTTTGGGGTGCATGCTGTTGACCGCAGGCCTAGAGGTCAGCTTGTGAGTGGTCCACCATGGGGAGCTGAGGGTTGGCACTGAGCTGGGCTGCAGGAGGCTCATGGCTGTGGGCGGGACTCGGCAAGCAGGCCGTGTGGGCAGCCCTGGGTGCAGGACGCGGGTGAGGGGCACAGCTTTGGGAGGCCATGGGCCTGCCCCCTGAGAGGGCCCAGCTGGAGGCCTGGGAGCCAGAAGGAGCCTGGCAAAGGTGTCCACTCAGTGCCCACTCATGCCAGCCCTGGGGTCTACCTGTGGTCACTCCCAGGGAGAAAGCCACCTTTGTCCTGTCTCTGTCCTTGCTTCTGCCTGGGCAGGCTGAGCTTGGCCATCACAGTCAGAGTCTGTGCACACTGATGATCTGATGATTCGCCCGCCTTCAGTAACGCTCCCAGACGGCCTCACCGTCACCGCTGGCAACCGAGGGGAAAGTCCAGAAATAAACTCCATCAGATTTAAATTGGGCTTCACTCTTAGCAGGGTGGGGACACTTTCCATTGCCCACTGCAAGGAGGACCCTCCCCTGCCTGGTGCTGCCTACCCGCAGGCCACTCCGTCAGGCAGTGAGGTGGGTTTTCAGAACCACGCGGTGGCATTGGGTGGTGTCCCCTGGGGGCCTGGGCCTGGCCCAGCTCCTCCCATGCTGGCCGATGGCGTCTGCTCTTCTGGCGAGCAGCAGTGTGTCTGAGGCCACACCTCCACAGCTGCTGGACTTGGCTCTTTCTGGAAGTGGTAGCCTATTGGCTCTCTTCTGGGAACCTTGGCCCCTTGATCTCAGTGACTCTTTGGGGACCCAACTTTTCCTGTCCATTGCTAAAACTTGCTGAGTGACCTTACCCCCTAGATCTTATCATGTGGCCTGAGGGGTGGATGTAGAGATATTCTTGTCTCCATACAATAATCCAATTTGTTTTTATCCCAAGTTTTTGAGATATTTAAAAATTTTTAAAGGTTATCAGATACATTTCTTGACACTTTTGAGATGACTGAGTGATTTCCTTCTAAAAAGACACACATTTGTGTGGCATGTTTTCAGGTAGGGAGATGTTATGGCTGAAATATTAGGTGTCCCTCAAATGCTCATGTGTGAGACAAAGCAAGAGGCTGGAGGTGAAAAGACTGGATTATGAGAGCCGGTTAACTGAGTGGTAACAAGCAGCTGGGGTGTGGCTAGAGGAGGGGCCATAGAGGCATGCCTTTGGGGTAGATCCATGGTATCTGGTGAGTGCAGACTCTATGGGTTTCTTGATAACCTTATGAGCCACTTCTCTCTGCTGAACTATTTTGCCATGATGTTCTGCCTCACGTCGAGTCCCAAGGAATGGAACCAGCTGTCTGTGGAATAAGATCTCTGAAACCGAAGTCCCAAAGTGAATTTTTTCTTCATAAAATTGTAATTTTCAGCTATTTTAGACACAGCAGTGAAAAAGACGATTCATATAGTAGATAAACAGATAACTGACTAAATGGGTGTGTCATTTATAACACAACTTGGACTAGACTCCGATTCATTTATAATCGATGCATCAATCCTGGTGACATACATACACATATGTACACACGTAAGACATACAAACGATTAAACAAATACATCCAAACAAGTATATGAAGGACATGCATGAACACACTTATATAGGAAATATACATACTAGGTATATAGGAACAAAAGCTCATAATAATATGCACAAAAATACATTACATATGATTACCACAAGTGGAAATATGCATCAATATATACATATGCTTAAAACACATGAGAAAATATATGTAAGAGTGGTGAGAGTATACTGGGGAAAGGGGTGTATGGAATGGGACGGAGTGTGGGATGGAGTGTCAGGGGTGGAGTGTGAGGGATGGAGTCTGAGGGATGGAGTTGAGAAATGGAGTCTGAGAGGATGGAGTGTGAGGGATGGAGTTGAGAAATGGAGTCTGAGGGGATGGAGTGTGAGGGATAGAGTGAGGAAATGGAGTGAGAGGAATGGAGTGTGAAGGGTGGAGTGTGAGTGGTAGAGTATGAGGGGTGGAGTGTGAAAGATGAAGTGTGAGGGGTGGAGGATGAGGGATGCAGTGTGAGGGATGGAGTGTGAGGGACGGAGTGTGAGAAATCGATTCTCAGGGGATGGAGGGTGAGGGATGGAGGGTGACAGATGGAGTGTGATGAATGAAGTTTGACAGGATGGAATGTTAGGGGTAGAGTGTGAGGGATGGAGTGTGAGAAAGGGAGTGTGAGGGATAGAATGTGAGAGGATGGAGTGTGACAGACGAAGTGTGACAGGATGGAATGTGAGGTTTAGAGTGTGAGGGGTGGAGTGTGAGGGATGGGGTGTGAGACATGAAGTTTCAGGAGATAAAGTGTGAGGAACAGAGTGAGAGGGATAGAGTACGAGGGATGGAGTGTGAGGGATAGAATTTGAGGGACAGAGTATTTGGGATGAAGTATGAGTGGATGAAATGTGAATGGATGGAGTGTGAAGAGATGGATTGCAAGGGATAGAGTGTAAGGAAATTCGGTGTGAAAGAGTGTGAGGGAATGGTGTGTGAAAGGATGGATATGAGAGGATGGAGTGTGAGGTGATGGAGTGTGGGGGTTGAAGTGTGAGAAGATGGACTGTGAGGGGATTGTGTGAGAGTCTTTGGAGAATGAGGGATAGAGAGTGAAGAGATTGAGGAATGGATTATGAGGGATGGAGGATGATGGGATGGAATGTGAGAAGATGAAGAAACAGGGAATACAGTGTGATAAATGGAATGTGAGGAATGTTGTATAAAAGATGAACTGTGATGGAATGGAGTGTTAAAATGTGAGGCATGGAGCGTGAGGGATGGAGATGGAGGAATAGAGTGTGAGGAATGGAGTGTGAGGGGTGGACTGTGAGGGATGCAGAGTGAGGGATGAAAGGTGAGGGTGGGATTGTCAGGGATGGAATGTGAGGGGATAAAGAGTGAGTGGATAGAGTATGAGAGTTGCAGTGTGAGGGAATGGAGAGTGAGTGACTGAGTGTCTGTGACGTAGAGTGACAAA